TCTCTCTCTCTCTCTCTCTCTCTCAGAAAAAAGAAAAAGAAAAACAAACAAACAAACAAAAACACCCAACACTGATGAGTAACAATTTGTGCAAGGCTTGAGCTGTACAATATTAAAGTGTGATGTCCATTACTTTTAGGATTTTTCTTTGCTAGAGAAGCAGATAACTTACAATTTTGGCCAGGCTAGACATGTGTATGCATCTGAAGCTAAATAGGTTTGTCTGAGTCTTATTTAAAAGTTCTGTAAAAGTTTATAAAATGAAATTTTATATAGGTTTCACCAATAAGTGCTATCTTTTATATATTGCATCTGGCATAAAAGGGCCACACTGCCATTTGAGAAAGTGATATAAATCTGTCTGCTTTAAGTAAACCTAGTTTTGATCATTAATGCTGTTCCCTAAATGTATAAGAGATTTAAGGGGTTTTTCTAGTACTGCTAAACTCTGCAAACCTGTAATAATCTATGAATTTGGAATTTCAAACCTAGTTAATATAAGGACATCTGTGTAATGATGATGCTATTAGTTCTTTGTATATTAAGTATACTCATGTTCTTCTAATATACAGGTTTTAAAATATAAAGCTTGATTTTCCAAGCTAATGTTCTCCAAACTAAAATTGTCTGAAATGGTAATTTTAATTTTGGTGATTTCTTTATGTCTTTTAGTGTATTCTAAAATTACAACAGGTCTATAATAGGACCTGTTACTTTTTACATTGAGATAAATGTACTTTTAAGATAATGAGTGCCTGATCTGGTTAAAAGTGGATATTGTAAAACATGAAAATATTTTACCACTTTCCCACGAAAAAAGGGTTAAAAGCTCTCTAAGCTTTTCTTGGATTCATATTTCATATGTAATGATGTATTGTGTTATTTGTGAAGAACCTCACCTTAACTAAGATAAGGCTCTGCTTCCCACCTTATTCCATCTTAGAATGTCTCCAAAAGAGGCTGGACTTCAGCTCATTTAAACCTGTGTTCAAAAAATTGTTTTTTGTTGTAAAGATTACTGTGATCTTGGGCTGGGGTTGTAGCTCAGTAGTAGAGCACTTGTCTCGCATGCATGAAGAACTGGGTTTGATTCTTAGCCCCACGTATAAATAAATAAACAAACAAATATCCATTGACAACTAAAAAAATTAAAACTTAAAAAAGATTACTGTGATCTCAAACAGGATATAATGTACAATGAAGTAAAGGTTCAAGATTATAAAAGCATTTTTCTTGGTTCATAACTATTACATAAACTAAATATGTTTTTGCTGTTAATTTTATTTTATATTGTGTTTTGCGGTGGTACTCCTTCTAAAGAAAAGGAAAAGAAAATAAACAACTTGGGTTAATTTGAGAGAATAAGTTATCACCTACAGGACAAATAGTATATAATGTTGACTTGCAATACTAATACTAACCCAATTAAATGAAAGGGGTAACTGTAAAATTATAGATATTAAAGCTATAACCTGGGGGCTGGGATTGTGGCTCAGTGGTAAAGGGTTCACCTAGCACATGTGAGGCTCTGGGTTCGATCCTCAGCACCACATAAAAATAACATAAAGGTCATTGTGTACACCTACAACTAAAATAAATATTTTTAAAAAGCTATAACCTGTTATTCCCTCTTTAAGACTGGTAAAACTGGCTTGCTGGGTGTTTAAAACCAAAAATTTGAGACCAAAGTCAAGGAAGTAAAAGGGTAAAGGAAAAAGCAGCCAATATTTGGCCCTTGCCCTGTAAGGTCAGCCAGCAGCCAGAGAATGATGGGGCCCCTCTAAGGGCTCTGAAACTCCAATGAGACAACTTGTGTGCACTAAGAGAGATGGAGAGTACCCTAGAGAACAGAGATCCACCAACTGGTGGTGCATATTCTGTGAAGAGGAGGGTCACTGGAAAATAAAATGCCTGAAGCTTCCAAGAGAAGCCACATATGTGGTCATCAAGACCTTATCCTGACCCATCCTGGCACATGGCACCACTGATAGAGGAAGCCTAAAGGAGCCAGGAGGCTTCACACCTTTTCCCAAGAGTGATCGCTGATGAATCTCAGCTGACTCTTAAGAATAGATAGAA